TAATGAGAAGCACATGACTGTGCAGTCCTTGTTCGGATGACAATGAAGAGCTCTTGCTTTCAGCCGCACATACAGAACGCAGAGACACTCTCACACAGAAGTGTTCCCGGAAGAGAGTCAAGGAGCATAAAAACTGAAAGAAAACTTGTCTGGTCTGTGTGTTTATTTATTCAAGGAAAGAAAGAGAAGGTGTCTGAATGTGAAAGCTCATATATTTCGCTGTTAACGTGATTTCAGTTGCATTATACCATGAAAACGAGCAAATGATGATGATGATGAGAAACACAACTGGGGAACGTGGGGATTCTGGCATGAGCATACAGTCATCTGGGGGCTCACAATGGAAATGGGGCAAAATAAGACGCTGTGTGTGTGTGTGTGGGTGTGCTCTTCATCTGTGCAAAATCAAGATGTTTGACTCTGGACTCTGTTCGATTATTTTTTCATATTTGAGGGAAAAGTTTTACAGTTGTTTTTTTTCTCTCTTTTTCTAACCGAACCCCTCCAAGCACAGCATGGGCCCTCCACTAAATAAATTACTGTTACACTGTCATGTTTTTTCGGGAACCCAGAGGGGAGAAACCATCTGGATCCAGAGAGGGCCTTTCCCTGTTTGTGTGTGTGTGTGTGTTTGTGGCAACTGTAATTTCTCCTCCACCCTTGGAACGCAGGCTCACTTCAGAATATGTGCGACATCAATCCTCTGTGATTGAACATAGTCTCTGGGGATATGTTGTTATCATCAGATGGAGCACACAACTGTGTACCCTCATTCTGATGTGATTCTACATAATCACATGAGCAATGTCTGTAAAATGAGTCTTTCTCTGTCCTCTAACAGTATAAAAGGGAAACAACAAAAGCTTTCACCAGTCTGTCTGAGACCATAACCAGATGTAAACAAACAGCCAGTTTGGAAATATTTGGTTTCACAGATTTTAGTGGTTTGATTGACTGGAAGACATTTTTTTAAGAGTTAAGTTTGGAAAATGGCACCCCTGAATCTTAATCACGGAGCGTTGTAAATGAATGGAAAATTAACCAATTCAGTGGTATATTGTTTTTCAGCAAAAAGAAAGGCTTTTTTTTTTTCAAATACAGCACAAGCCTAAACTGTTCCCCAGACAAAATTATTCAAATCGAATCCAGATGTGCTTCGTTTTCAGTCATATGAGCTGAACTGACCACTGAATCATGTTTTTCTGCAGCACAAAAGTTGGCTGTGTTACGTTTCCTATTTTAACGGTGATGAAGACCAGAGTTAAAAAACAACGGCCACAGAGCAGCTCAACCAGAGGAAGAACTCTGAGCATTGGAAAGGTTTTTAACAGGCACACAACCACACAAGCAGATGTACTGTTTCCTTATCCTTTGTTGGGTTGCTTTTTCTCTCTGCGTAGAAAAGCTTTAATCACTATGACATTGTGAATCAGACTCACAGAAAACTGTGACTGAAGCAACAACAGCCACAAGGCCTCATCCCAGACAGGGACCTGGGGCACACATCTAACTCACCCCTTTCCCTTCCTCTCTTCCTTCATCCTATCACTGGCTTTCGTTTTTGTTTCAGCTTTTACAAATTTCGTGTCTGGAGTGGATTTCGAGTGGATTCAAGCACGGCCACGGAACAGACTTTGAAAGCCCAAGAAAGCTTTTTTTATTTGTTTATGTGCTTTGAGTCAACAGAATGGGAGGAAAAAATGGGGAAAAGCCCCAAATCGAGGGCTGGAAAACGGTGACCTTGCACTCTTGAATTCTGCAACGTATCGACAAAAAACAAGACACAAGGGAGGAGAAAGGAAGACAGATGGGGAAAAACAGAGAGATACGCCGGTGAAATGACAAAAGATCACCTGAGATCAAGCCAGGTAGAAAAAGAAAGCAGCATTCCAACTGATGACAGAGGAGAAGATGTAGGAGCTGTAGGAGGACCCTCAAATTACTCTGAAAACACAGATAAAAGGAACAAAACACACGCATAAACAGATTGTGTCACTTCTTAAACTCACTCATTCAACAAATCACTGCAACGGTCTGAAAAGTGGAGCACAAAGACATGGCCTCAGAACCAAACTGTCGCTGCTCTGATATGCTTTGAGAGGAAATTATAGCCATCGGAAGGAGTGTGCGTGTCAGCTGTTGTGCTCGGCGTGATCCTCGGGAGGATGAAAGTGAAGCCAGTGAGCTCCTCTTATCTCCGACGGGAAGGAATAAAGAAGGCTTGATGACAGGCAGACAGAAGAGGGCAGAGGAGACGGAGGCAAATGAGCTGTCGGGGTTGTGTCTGTTCTCGGTGGCTCTCCTCTGTTTCGACAAAGTGTCTCTGCCGCACGTCGGTCTCAAATGTGGCCATGGAATACACCAGGAATCTTTTTTTCAGGCATCACTTCAAAAATATCTAGGGGGCTGATCGCCCATGAAGTCAAAGAACATGGCAAAGAGTCTGAAGTGTTCACAAGGCCTGAAAACTCGGGCTAATGGGTTGTGCTGACATCTGAACAAAGCAGGCCCACACCCACAAACCCACAACTTCCAGGGTTTTGAGGGTAGCATCGACATTGTTCAGGCACACTACAAGGTTTTTTTCTCAGATAATCTCTGCTCATGTTCAGTTCGTGTCCAGCTTTTATTTGTTTCATTTCCATTTTCCAAACCGCCCTGTGGGAATCGGGCATGGGCTTCGCTCAGTGGAACAAGCCCCCCCCTTTAATCTCCTAATAATGATTCATAAAGGAGATGTTGATCCAGGAAATACATAGATAAATATAATTCAGAGGAACACTGCGGAGGTGGGAGGAGAGAAAAACCGCAGGCTTCAGACGCTTCTGCCAGTAGATCTGTGTTCAGCGCTGGGATGTTGAAACTTTACTTAAAGCTATTTTCACACATGCGCTGCTTTCTATTAATCTGGTGGCAACAAAACAAGTCGCGATCATATTTGATTTATTGCGCCGGTTCTGTTTGGTTTAGTTTTGAAACAGCAATCTGACAGCGCCAGCCCCGGGAACGTGTGTAAATCACTCTCAAGGCAAGAAAAAGTCACAATTGATGCAGTCACGTTAATGGAACGACTATCTCAAATATGCTGGCAATGAAATGCAGTGTGAGGCTCACAGAAAAAGGTTCGGCCGAAAAGAATATTCTCAGCTGCTTCACACACTCACTGCACACACACCGTGTCCCCTCCTGTGTTGTTATTTTTTACAGGTATGTTTGAATGTATGGTGAGCAACACTGACAAAGTGACCAGTGTGTGAACGGCCGAGCGGCGTGGCTTCAACGGACAGATGAAGCCATTAATGTTTTGATTCTCGTGTGTGAAAAGGGCTTTTGTTCCTGGCCTCCGCCAACGCGGGGAAAGGGGGGGGTCTGCTTCTACAGCTGTTGAAAGCTGTTGAGAGTTCCACATGTTCCTGCTAGTCCCAAACTTGGTCCGCTTCAGGGTGTACGAACCGTAGTTGCAACAGCCATCTGTATCTGGAAAAGACGAGAGGGATGTGCCCGAACTTAAATGTTAATTAAACTATTTTATTAATCTTAGCTGTTGGTTCAGCTGCTAGTTGAAAATTACTAATCAGTCATACTTAAAGCAGCTCATTCAGAAACAGCAGCTTAGATTTCACCCTGTAATTCAATTCCTACAACAGCTTCTTTCTGGCGTCTTCCTGGTAACATAATGAACGCTGCACTGATGAAAAGTGTGATATCCTCAGAGCCCAAAGGGAGGATTATGATTATTCATCTGAGTGCCGGGACTGAAGTGTGCCGGGCTGTTTTATGATGAGGATTCCATATCCTTATCACACAAAATCTGTCACCATACTGTTTCTCTGCACTTCTTTGAGACACACTCACAGTTTTTCTGAACTATTTGAAACGCAACAATACACTGACTGTGCTTGGCGAATAAGCTCAGATGTGGAGGGCAGACAAACTGCACATTATTCAAGAGGAAACATTCCTCACGTTGTTAGCAGATCTGGAAACCTGGTGACTTGGCACATCTGTCTCTGGGGTCTGTGGAGCTGGCAGCGCTACACACAATCCACTGTCACGGTCTTCTTCCAACATCTGTCCACTTGGAGAATGACCCATCTATATCCACACACAGAAGCTGAAGACTCATTGCTCTCAAATGAAGAAACAAATGCCCTTTCAAGCTCAGACTGAGAAGCTGCTATGTGCTGCTGGAGTAAAGTTTTTCTGAGTTACAGATCAGAAATTGAAGTAAAAAAAATAAACTGTCAAATTAATAAATGCTGATTATTGATGATTTCTGCCATCAAAATTCAAGTTGCATCTTAAATTGGTGCCAAGTTTGCAGGATAGAATTCAACCACTTTAGAGGGTTTTTTAATTAGCATTGGTCTTTGATGATAAGTTATGTACATGTTTTCATGTCTTTTTTGTTTTTTCAGTTCGTCCTGTAGTGTATTTCCCATAAAAGGTCATTCAGAATTCAGAAATTTGGTTAATATTTGAGAAATATTACATTTAAAACTTAAAATCTAAATATGAAGACTTCCTACTTCAGCATATTGTACACACAATGCCTGGCCTCCACTTTTAGTTTGACATGAACTTTAGACGACTATTCATGGTGGAGAAAAATATTACATGTTTTCAGAGCAATCCACCAAACGTTTTAGTATGTCAACATGTCCTTCACAGAAACAGCTTTGACAGGTAGAAAGTCTCAAAGTCATCTTTCTCTGACATGTGGATATCCATCCGCAGGTCTCCCCGTGTCCAGCCAGATGACTCCGCCCAGAATGAGCGCTCAAATCGGCCACTGGGTCCAGGCTTCCCCCGGGGCCCGCCCACTGGTGGAGCTTTTCTTATTAATGTCTCTGCGCGGCTCAGCTGCGAGGTCCTCAGAGAGAACCAACACAAAAACACACCAGTCTGCAGCAATCCCTGCCTTCACCATGCTGTGAACAGGAAATACAAAACTTTTTCCTGTCCATGAGCAAAGTGGTGAACTCATCCTCTCAGTCGCGATGTGGAAGTCTGCCGGCGCGCCTGCGCGTAACGGCGGCGCAGCAGCGGGACCGCGCGTGGCCGTGGCCGCGGTCGCCGGGCTGCTGGTCACCGGGATGCTGGTGGTCAGCGGCGGACACCAGCGGGAGCCGCCGGCCGCGGCCGGTGCGGATGTCGTCTCGGCGTATTTCAGGAGGCTGGCCCGGGACAGGAGAGCGGTCAGCGCGCAGCCGGCGCGCAGCGGCGCTCCCGGGAGGCCGGCCGAGCGGCTGTCCGAGGCTGACCTCTTCATAGCGGTCAAAACCACCGGGAGGTACCACGGGCAGAGGCTGGAGCTGCTGCTGGACACCTGGATATCCAGAAACGCGCCACACGTGAGTCAAGTTGTGCGGCTGGAGTCCAATCGACCCATAGTAGATCCTTTTACTTACTTTTTGAGAGAGACAAGGGATTTAAGAGAATGTCTCATGTTAGGGACTCACCATTTAGGAGCAGAGAGAATAGTTAAACAATATCTTGTGCGTAAAAGTGCAATACAAAGGGACTTGGGTGAAGAGGAAACGCTCCTGTGAGGCTCAGATGGATGGGATCTTTAAGCAGGATGCATGAGAGTTTATTTCCCAAAACCCATAGCTGTTCTGCTTCAGGATCGGTTTAGATCTGAAGTTTAGGCTTCAAACTGCTGTCAGATAGAGCTGATCACAAATTTCAAAGCTTCTGTCTGTAAGTAAAAATAGCACCATTGAATTTCACTCAAGCATTTTCCTTTTTTTCTTCTTCTTCTTACTCTATTGGGTCTGTGTCTACAAGCCAAGCATGGTAGGGGGGTTATTCCATGTGGCCTGAAATAAACAAAGCTTTTCCAAAAACTTTTAAAAAAAATGTAATAACTTCAAATCTGAAATGGTTTTGGAGGAGTGCATTTAAATAGAATTAGCTGCCAACTGCTTGCTTCAAAGGGGGGCAGGGAGGGTTCAGCTGGTTCAGAAGGAGAAATATTTCAGATCAAAAGCAGTGACCGGACAGCTTTCTGGTCTGCACCGCAAGGATGAGTGAGTCAAAAATGCATCTGTTGCTGTAAAACACATGTGACGGCAGTAAAGTGTGCCCTTCGGCTTCAAAGCTTTTAATCAACTGCAGACGAGACTGTGGATTCCTCAGTCAGGGTTCTGATTCCCATTAAAGCCTCACGGTTTGTGGATGAACCAACGCTCGAGTAATCTCCACACTGTTGACATGTAAATACGGTTGGGGGGGGGGGGGGGGGGGGGGGGGATCAGCTGGTGTGTGTTTAGGATGTGTGTATGTGACACATCCCTGCATCCGCTCCCACAGTCAGGTGTTTGCAACTCTACCTGTTTTTCCCAGACACACCTCTCTGACTGCTGAGTAATGGAAACACAACGACACAAACCCACTGTTGCCTTCACAAACACACCCTGGGAACTCGCTGGCTTTCTCGTGGGAAGTTGAGCGCTCGTCCCAACGCAAGAACACACACGCACACACACGCACACACACACACTCGCGTGTCACTTTCTCCCCCAGGCGCACGCTTACTCACTTCCAGCCGCCTGGCTCAGTCATACACTGCCATGACACACACACACACACACACACATGCACACGCTCGTGCAGAAGCTGACTCCTCTGAAGAGTTTTTTTTTAAAAAAAAAGAAGAAGAAGAAGAGAGCCTGATAAAAACTCACAGCTGGCCTGACTCTTTACCACAAGCCGTGGCGGGATCTCTCAGTAATTGAATCAAAGATTTATTACAGTCAAGCTGTGAGGCAGGCGGGCTGCAAAGTGGAATCTCTGTGAGTTTCCACTGGGGCAGTGTTGTTAGAGCTTCACGGAGGCCGTAGGCACAAATCATTTAAAAAAACTAAAATTCGAACACGCTGGTTACTGTGGGTTTTGTTATGGTCTGGTAATTTACCGATAAAGACCCTTTTACATTGGTCTTGAAAATGGACATTTTTTAGACACATGCAGCCATTATTTCAGCAGAAATAACTGACCTCATTTTCTAGCAGGCTTATGATATATTTGGCCATTGACATTTCTTGCATATACAGTATATTTATAATGTAAGTCATTTTTTACATCGATGGAAGGAAGAATCCGTCTTACTCAACCATCTCAGGCCAGGCAACATGACGGCTTAAATGTGAGAAGTGGCTGGGACATCAATCCTGCTCCAGTGTACATAATTAGGGCCAGTGGGGGATTACCACGTATGAAGGCAGATAACAAAGTGAGGCCAGATAAATCCACAGAGGAGCCCTGCCAAGATCTGAAGTTTGTTTGAAGCAACAAACCCCCTGACTTCCACTTTGTGCAGAAGTCTTGAGCCACCGTGTCTTCTCCTGGATCAGTTCTCCAGGCCTTTTTGAAGGATGTCTCGGAGCTCTTCTTCAGACGTTGGTTGTCCAACTTTTGCTCTGTTCAGTCAAGATGATCCAATGCTGCTTAAGTACAGGCGAGGTCGGGTTCTGACCTTAAGATCTGTTGCCACTGGGGAAAGGCTTCTTGACAGCCACCTTTCCATGGTGATCATTTCAGAGAGGCTCGAGTAGATCCAGGATTTCCCCTCTCAGCTCCTGAGTCAGATCACGTCACAGTTCACGTCTTACTTTACAGTTGTTCAGTTTCTTGACAGTGTCTGTAGCACTGGTTCAATATGTTGTTTTATGGCAGTCAAAGTTCGATATTTGCCTTTTTCTGTTGATGGAACGAAAGAGAGTGCCACACATTTGGTATTTTGGTGAGAGGCCGTGAGCAACAAAGTGCATAAAGAAACTGTTTAACACAGACTTTTTGCAAAATCCCTTGAGTTAGATATTTTTAATGCTCAAATGATTCACAGTTCTCTGGTGAGTGACTTAAACAAGAGAGAAAAAATCGGACTGAAAGCAGTCAATCCCCCTGTTGACAGAACGTGACCATTTTAAAAGCTCACAAGAAAATGGAGAAAAGGCTCCCTGGAGGAGCAGTGGGTTGTCTGAAGGCCTTTTCTCACCATCATGAAGGGACGCATTGTAAACCTGAGGGGCAGCACATTAACGCGCTGTCATTGTTTAATTGAAAATCTATTGTACTGCAAAACGAGGCAAAAACAGCCGACTATTTACGACGCTCGGGGTAGGTGTTCACTTCCTGTGGAAAATAATGGGGTCTGCACAGCTTCCTGAATCCACGGTGACCCTCAACCCCCGTCACTCTCCACAAAAAACCCCCCCCCCCCCGCTCCGAGCTGTGAGCAGCTGCTCTGCTGCTGATAGACAGGAGGCGTACTTTTGTCTTGGCTTGTATCCAGTATCAGCAACGCTTGCTGCTCACCTGACATTGGAAAAACCGTGATCTGCAAACAAAGCGAGACAGAGGCTGTACGGGGGGTTGTTTTCTTTCCCATAGGATTTTTAAAGATCCGATGTTCAAACTTTGTTAACTGTGCTGTGTTTTTATGTGTTTTTTTTTTCCGCAGACGTACGTGTTCACAGATGGAGAAGATGAGAAGCTGAGGAAAAAGATGGGTGAGCTGCCCTCACACACACGTGCTGACACACACACACGCACGCACACGGGTGGGTTTCGCTGAGCGGCTGCAGTTTTTATCTGCAGCCACTCAGCGAGAGGCAGGAAAAGCAGGAACCAAGCTGCTGACTGAGCAAACTCCGATTTCCCCGAAGTGCACAAAGTCACTTCAGATTATTCGGCATGCCTCTCTTCCTCTCGCACATGGGATTGTTTGACTTTCAATGAACTATTCTTCTTTTAATCAGGTGCATTGTGAGACTGTGCAAAGCCGCCGTTGGGTTATTTACTGCTTTTCTCGGGGTGGTAAAATAATCAAACAATTATCAGCTTCCCCGCATCGGCCTGAACAAAATTGCCTCCGAATAGACATATCTTTCCCTTTGTTTGACTCCTGCTGCTGTTGATAAGCGTGTTTATTGCCTTTTTCTGTGTGTTATTGACCTTAAGGGCCCCAGCTGATCAACACCAACTGCTCGGCGGCGCACAGTCGTCAGGCCCTCTCCTGCAAAATGGCTCTGGAGTACGACGCCTTCATGAACTCTGGAAAGAAGTGAGTCTGGGCGCGCCTAACCCTAACCCTAACCCAGCGGTGGCAGCTTTTTCTAACCGCCCGCGACCCTGTCCCGCAGGTGGTTCTGCCACGTGGACGACGACAACTACCTGAACGTGCCCCCGCTCCTCAGACTCCTGTCCCAGTTCGGCCACGCGCAGGACGTCTACCTGGGCCGGCCCAGCCTGGAGAGGCCCATAGAGGCCACCGAGACCCTCAGCAACACTGAAACGGTGATTGGAAAAGACGAGTTCCTCAGGTTCCGAGATATCCCTGTAGCATTCCAGTAGGACTGTAGAGTCACTCTGACTGGAGCGCGGCATGTATCCAAAGGGTGTGTCGGCGCTCCGGCTGGCTGCGGTCAGGAGCGTGCCGGCCCGTCCGTTTTCCCAGGCTCACCCTCCGCGTGTGTTTGTGTGCAGAAGCAGGTGCGTTTCTGGTTCGCCACGGGAGGGGCGGGCTTCTGCCTGAGCCGCGGCCTCGCCCTGAAGATGAAACCCTGGGCGAGGTGGGTCCTCTCTCGAAAACCAAAAAATTCTCCCGGTCGCGTTTTTTTTCACTGGCCCAGACCTTCCCCCACGCTCCCACTAACGGCATCTCTCTCTCCCCCTCACCAGCGACGGCGCTTTCATGGCCACGGCCGAGCACATCCGGCTGCCCGACGACTGCACGGTGGGTTACATCGCCGAGGCGCTGCTGGGCGTGAGCCTCACCCGCTCGCCGCTGTTCCACTCCCACCTGGAGAACCTGGACCTGGTGTCGGACATAAACAAACAGGTACACGCGTCTATAGATCTAAGAGGATCTGAGCCACGAACTGGAACTCCATATGGGTGAACCCCCCCCCCCCCGGCTCTGTGTTGTGTGTCCACTTTCAGGTCACTCTCAGCTACGGCACTGTGGACAACAAGAGGAATACCGTGAATGTCAGAGGCCCGTTTTCAGTCCACGAAGATCCCACCAGGTAAAAGGAACAATCTCACATCATGCTATGTTGTCCACTATGCAAAATGGCTCAGCAATGTGAGCGAATAAGTCTAAAAATCTGCTCATTTTTCCTGATGACCTTTTATCAGAGATCAATTTTTTGGGATTATCAGACACTGAGCGCTGAAAAGGAAAAAGCCTGTGATTATTCGCCATAGAATATGTTGTTATTTTTCCTCTCTGAGATTCTCATTCACACAGAGGTGTTCCCTGTGGAAGTCCAGTCTTAACAGACAAATCCTGCCACATCCAAGCTGACAGATTAATAAAAACAAAACCCCAGTTGACCTAAAGGCTGCCTGACCTTTTAAATTCATTTTTTTTCTCCTTCTGCTTTCCCTGCTCGGTAACTGTTATGGACTTGAATCTGCATTTCTGCACCTTGTTAGCTGCAGGTCATCAGCTTTGGAATTCTAAGGGGAAAACCGTTGTTTTTGAAGCTTGTTTCCATGCAAACGCTTCTTATTGTCCGTGTTCTAGTACTACAGGTTTCCTGTCTTTGTTCATTGTGTGTGTGTGTGTCAGTGTGTGTGCAACTAATTGTGCTCACATCTTTGTTTTGAAACCCCCTCAGTTGCTAACTTCCAGGCATTGTGACACTTGTTTCCCCTCTTTTTTGTCAGATTCAGGTCTGTCCATTGTCTGCTGTACCCAGACACCCCTTGGTGCCCCAGCGCCTGGCGGCTTCAGCACCCGTCCAGAGACAAACAGGGAGGGACGAACTGAGATTTCTGTATTGGGAAGCAGCACAGTCGGATTTGCGTTGAAGCCCGAGGTCTGACGATGAACGTGTCACTCCGAGTCAGAGGGTCAAAAACTGCAGCTGGAGGCGGAGGTCAAACGATCAATGACTCGGATTAAAGGAGGTGAAAAACTGCTTTGGGAAACGATTAAAAGTCCTGGGGGTGGCCTCGTTTGGTACCAGAATCAGGAGCTTGCCCCATGCGTGCAGCCTGGTTTTGTCACATCTGCTTCGCTTCAGCTGTGATGGGGCTCGGACGCTCCCCGAGCCAAATGCTAGCTCGAGCTTGCGGTGTTTGAGAGGGACCTCATCTGTTGTGTTTCGTCTCCTGTTTTCGAATATCAGTTCGCTTTTTAAGCCATGCTACAAAGCGTCTTCTCCCCAACCCGCACATTTCCAGCCTCCTTTCAGGGGTGAATCAAAGTGTTTAGTTGTGCGCCCACCCTCCTCCCTCCCATGCTGTGGTGTTTACTGTAACACACCACTGTCATAGAGATGAAGCTGTCTGTAACAGGGGGATTCAACCTGTTGTTGCAAACCGTTTTTTTTTTTTTGTGGAGTTGGAGCAGATGCACAGATATTTATTCCCTTTGCATTCAGTATTAACCTCCCACTGAAGTATGTAACATTACCTGAGCACTTTGATGTTTTATTTCTTAATTTCTTTTATTTCTTTTGTTTGCTATTGATGGTTTCATTTAAAAAAAAACAACGCATTTTTAAAATAGTCTGACAGATGGGGAAATATGCACATTTGCTTGGCTTGTTTGGGCTACGACAAAGAATGAACTTTTGATCAGATATAAGCTGACACAAGCTGTCCATGGGGTAAAATAACAGAATGAATATGATGAATATTCATGATTTCCACAACAATTGTGGCTATGTCTCAGTCATATAACAAAAATGGCCAAATCTCCCCACATGACAAACTTTTTAACAGTCGTACTTTTAACACGACTCAATCAGTGCATAATTTAAACAGCAAAAACATCCACTTTAGTTTTAATGGGAAATGACTCATGTTGAGTTGTCTTCTTTCTTTCTGTGCAGTGAAAGTTTTTCTTTTTTTTTTTTGGGCCATTGTTCTGCAAGTAATGGGCCGTGGCATCTGAAGCAAATCTTCTGTCTCCAGTATCTGGATCGTATGCAGACTTTTTCGTTGAATAAATACAGCTTTGAACGATTTTATATTATCATTGTCACGTGTGATTCTTTTTGGATGGACTGCTCGCCTCTGCACCTGCAACCTAACCATACAGAGAAAGACAGAATGACAAAACAAGCAGACTGTGTGTGTGTGTGAGAGGCTGTGCATGTGTCATCCCCTTACCCTGATATATTGAAACCGGTCTTGTTTAGCTGCTGTGTGGACAGTGACACCCGGTGGTAGCATGTTTCTACTGCACAAGGCTAAAAACTGCAAAGTGAAACTGCCTGGGAGATCAACATGGTGTTTATTCAGCGAGTTAACTTCATCAGAACGGCTAAACGCTCAAAGAGCCACAAAGAATTACTTAAACCAAAAAATGATTCACATTGTAGCTTATGTGAGATGCATCGCAGTGGTGCTTTGCAAGCCTCACAGTAGGACGTTTTCTGGATTCATTTGTTGCTCGAGATGTTTGTGTTGTTTCTACAGGAGCAGCCTTCTCCAACTGTCCGAAAACAGAGGCCAGGTTGACTTAGATCCTAAGCCAGCTCTAAAAGTGTCCACCATTAAGCATCTCCTTATTGTCGCAAAGCCGTGGACTAATGGCAGCTAATGTTAAATGGTTGTGAAGTTCAATGAGAATTATTAAAATCTAACAAAATATATTTAAAGACAGAAAAGAGAAATGTACTTTCTGTTATGGTATTTATATCTGCCGGGGGGTGAAGACAGGCTTTGTTAATCAGTTTGTATCCTAGGAGGAATGAGCTCTGGTAAAAGTTGAGTCACGTCAAAGAAAATGCATCAGTCCTGATCAGTACGTTAAAGTTCCTTTAATTTTTTGTTCTTTAAACATTTATTCCAGGCTGAATATCATTACCACAGTTTTGACATGTATATCATTAATATCTTAGTTAAACCATCAGAAAATAAAAACAGCAATAAAAAACATTGTCTGCAACATCTGGACGCAGATGTATTTGAAGTCCTGTCAGTGAATCTCACACACACGCGCACACACACACACACTACTGACCGCTAATGATGAGAATTGTTCCTTTTTTTTTTCTCGTCAAGACATGATTGACCAGACTGGTCACAGCACTTTGGAGAATTTCAAATACAGCTGTGAGACAGGTGTGCAGAATACACTGGAATAGTCTTATTAAAACATTGCAAGACAGAGAGTCATTCACCATTAATAAGAGAGGAAAAAGCTGCTCTTGCCTTTATTCTCCTACAAAACAGCTAGCTATTATTTTTACCTTTAAAGTCTGATTTTTACAAGACAGAAAAAAAAAAGAACATGTTGGGATATGAAGTGTTTTAAGAGCTTAAAAACATTATGAAAGGCCACTGTTCAGTGACTAGTCCCACGGATCTTAACGTCGTTTGCATCGGTGGTGCAAGAAAACACTTTAAAGTACTAGACCATAGGTAGCATTGTTACCATAACATGGACATTTCCTTTCTAGTAAAATCACACATGTAAGATTGTCTCGCTAATACGAGAAGTGGTCATTGATTAATCGCACAATAGTAAAATGCTGTACAGAGACGGTGTTTGGATGTTAGGGGGGGTTTTTCACACTCGGGATTCTGTTTTTTCTGTGAAAAGGCAGCCACTACCTGCTGCATCACCCACAGCGTAAATCAGTGATGGGGAGCGTGTGCGGTTAACTACAGCTCTAGATATCAATGAAAACAGGACAAAGGTATGGAAAGATGGACTCTAAATGACACATCAGCGTGCGTGTGCCTAGAAAGCATGTATGAGTGCATATACTGTTTAAGTGTGCGTTATTGTGTGCGCAGCGGCGATGTAGAGATGACTCAGGCTCCACGGGCTGGCCTTTGCTAGCAGCCTGATCAAATGTACTCACACAGAGTAACACTGAGATAGAACGATAGCCAATCAGACTGCAGTGATGTCACACACGCACGCACACACACACACAGGTTCACGACTATTGTTTTTATACACTGTACACAGAGTTTTAGAGCAGGAGGAAAAGCCCACAGGCAGTGTCCCAGGCAGTGAGTTCTACTTCTCCGTCTCACAAAGTCTTACTGAAAAGAAATTGTGCTTGTGGGTTAAAAAAAACAACGTACTCCTCTGTGTGCAATCCAGTCGAACAAAATAAATGCATAAAAGGGACATAACAATACAGAAGAAGAAGTGAATACTACAGCTGGTCACAGTATCATATCCTGAAAATCAACTTAAGGTTAAAAAAACCTGTCTTGACCCTTTTAAAGAACCACTTCCATTCAGTGATGAAGGAAAGCCAAACTCTTTCCCTGCTTTCCATATTCCACATATCTCTGGACGAAAATACACCAAAAAAAGAAAAAAAGGAGGAAAAACGCATCTGTCCTTCTCAGTCCTGACTGTGACACCTTAACATAGCACCTGACAAATGTGAGGTCACATTTATCTGTCCGTTGCATCCTTTTCCGAGGCTTTTCCCAAACCCTCATTTTCACCAGTTGCAGGGAAAGCATTCCAGGTGAGTTTTATTTTCCCTTTTTCGAGACTGGAGGCAGTAGGAGATGACATGATTAGGCATACTTCATTTCATTTTTCAGTTTTTTGGCACAGGTTGAGCCTTCGTTTGTCCTTTGTTTCTGACTCCATATCCAAAATAAACGCAGATGTTCCACAAGGGGGATTCCTGGTTCATGTTTAACGACACGTCTACCGCGTGTGCACATAAACAAGTGTGGAATTAGACGTGGACACACGCCTCTTTTTTCTGAGTTGACGATTCAACTCTTAAAACGACGATGTTAAGTTAAAGAAGGAATGTGGTGGCACGGTTCAGTTCCTATCTAAACATGGCTTTCTGATTTACTGGCTTATTTTCTAAGTAT